CCACTGTAATTACAAGTTTAACTAGTGCAGTACCTGTTGTTGTAGGAGGCACCATAGTAACTTGGTTATGGGGAGGCTTCTCAGTTGTTGTTGTTTTATATATATACAGGGTCACCAGCCCGTACGTACAGAGGTCCCCGGGCAGACCTCCGTACGTACAAGTGTTCGGGGTCCCGTACGGGGTCCGAACCCGACGGCGTTCGGCCCCCGCCAAAAATTATTTCGGGGCCTAAAAATAATAACGTTTTCTGAATTTTGTTTTGTGACTTCTCTATGACGTGTTACATGCGTGTAAATTTCCAAGTCATTTGGCTAAGCCAAATAAGAATTAAAAATCGCCAAAGAAGGCGGTGTCAAAACGTGCTCGCCCACGTATATTTTCATTTTTTACTTTTTGTTTTCACTTTAGCTTGGGGTCTAAACAATTTTATTATTTTTTGAAACTTTTTTAGTGGGTTTTGTATTATGTGAAGAAGACATCTGTAAATTTTCACGGCATTTAGCTATGCCAAAAAAAAATGAAAAATCGCCAAAGATGGCGGTGTCGAAAAACATGCTCGCGCACTCACTAAATTTAATTCTCTTTTTATTTTTATAAAATTATTTATTTTTATTATTAGTATTTTTTTTCCGTATTTTATTTTTATTTCACATTTGGTAAGGAATTCGGACGTAATGCTCACGCAAATCTTGTTTAATTTATTTTTCTCCATAACATATCTTTTTTTCAGATTTTTTTGATGACTTTTTTTTTTTTTTTTTTTTTTTTTGGGTCCCCGTTTGGCCCGAAAGACCGAACCCATCCCCAAGGGGGCCCGTACGTTCGGGCGTTTGGGTTCGGGCGTTCGGCCCGTCCCAAACGCCGGTAACCCTGTATATTAATAACATAGAAAGTAGATTCAAACTTTGTTTAAAAGATCTAGAGAATTACCATTTATTCTTGACTAATTTGCACAAGAATCTTAAACTTAGGCAAGCTAACTGTATATATATATTGTATATATATATCGTCAAATATATATATATTTGCACAAAATTTGCAGCTTGAAGTGCTTTGTCACTAAGCTTGACATTTTCTGCATGCTCCTCCATCCTTGACCCTCGGGACAAATGAGTTTTTGGGGAGCCACTGTAATTACAAGTTTAACTAGTGCAGTACCTGTTGTTGTAGGAGGCACCATAGTAACTTGGTTATGGGGAGGCTTCTCAGTTGTTGTTGTTGTTTTCAAGTAACCTACATTGTTCTCTGAATTTCACCTCACACTACCTACCTACCACTACTAATCGTAGTCATACGGGAACCCCATAGCAGCTAGAACCGTGTTCACACGAGAACGTGTGGGGGATGCTCCCGACCTGCAGGTGGCCGATACCGGCCAGGAGACTGCCAGTAGCATCAGGGACCATAGCAACAGGACCAATCCCTGTGCCTCCCCTCAGGTCCCCTCCCTTACGAACATCAGCAGACTCCGCTCAATGCCGATTGGGGGATCCAGTGTTCTATCTCTAGGTGGTGGGCGCCAAGCATGCCCAGGAAGGTACATGATGCCAATGGGGATTGAACCCACGACCTAAACTGAATGCCACTTGCGAGCCTTACCAACTGAGCTAGGCCGCTGTCAGCTCCTCCATCCCGGCTGAGGGCATGAAGGGTCACTCACGAAGTTCTAGTGTGAGTATGCTCCAAATATGTTTTATGCTGCGGATGGATCTTTTACTCAGCTGGAGGATGTGAAGGTTCACTCACGAAGCGCTTGCGTACATGTGCATCATTTGCTGAAGCCATGCAACTTCATAGATGATATTGTGAACAACAGTGTTATATTGTTCATTTTGCTGAGCAGTATTCTGGGTGGATGTGTTTGCTGAGCAGGTTGCAATGGGGCGAATTGTTACGCGAGAGAAAGGATGGTGTAATGTAGTTGTTTTTGTCCAGACGCCTGAGGAAAGCCAAGTAATGAGCCTAGAATGGCAGAATGAGATCATCGAGCGGTTGAGAAGAGAGGTGTTGCGGCCAATCCGGCTAGACCTCGTGACCAAAGACACGGAGACGGAGCTGCTTATTGCCACTCCGATTGAAGCTTCTTCTGGCAAGGGACGGCCACGAGTGCTGTATGATGTTACTTTGGCACTACGTTGTTTGAAAATCTGCATATTTAAGGTGCGACACCGAGGTTTCTGAGGCATATCTATTGACGTGAATCAACTTTTTGAGGGGAAAAAAAGGAGTTGTCAGACCAATCAATTGACCGATCAATCACAGTCAACCAGGCCATTCATCCTTCCCTCCCTCCCTCCCTCCATCCATCCATCCATCCATCTGTCCATCAGATGCATAGTACAGTTCGATATCCGTTTTCATTCGATTGATCTCAAGATTGGACCAAATTGAGCAGAACTGAATGGAATCCAGTGATGGAACCAATTGAATGAAATTCAATGGAATTGAATAGAATTGAGTGGAATGGAAGTGATTCGATACGATTGTGGTAGAGTCGTCAAATCCAGTCTAAATGCTAATCCATCCATCCAACCCAATCCAATCCAATCCGATCCAGTCCAATCCAATCCAATCCAATCCAGTCTAAATGCTAATCCATCCATCCATCCATCCATCCATCCAACCCAATGCAGTCCGGTCTAATCCATCCAATCCATCCATCCATCCATGCAATCCAATGCAATCTAGTCTCATCCATCCATCCATCCATCCATGCAATCCAATGCAATCTAGTCTAATCCATCCATCCATTCATCCACATCCATCCACATCCACCCATTCATCCGCCCATCCGATCCGATCCGATCCGATCCGATCCAGTCTGGTCCATCCAATCCATCTATCCATTCATCTATTCATCCACATCTACTGATCCATCCACATCCATCCAGATCCACCCATCCATCCGATCCGATCCGATCCGATCCGATCCGATCCGATCCATCCAATCCCTCCGTTCATCCATCCATCCGCCCATCCAGTCCGATCTGATCCAGTCTAATCCATCGAATCCATGCAATCCAGTCCAATCCAAGTTCAACCAGATCAGATAGTATCACACATGAGTGCGTTCTATGCCACGGTTATCCGATTCTGGTCAGCTCGATTCGCTTCTGTTTTATTGAATATTGGATTGAATTGAATCAAATGCAATCAAATCCATTTGATTTTGCATGTATTCGAGTTGATATCAAATTTGAACCAATCCACTCCAATTGGATTTAGTGACCCATCCATCGAATCGCATCCAAACCCAATCAAATCGTTTTTTTTTTTTGTTTTTTTTTTTTTTAATTCTTCCCGGATGCGCATTCATTTCCTTGTGCACGATCCTCAAACAATTGTCAATTTCCATTTCAAACGTGCATTGCTTGAAGGGAGGTCGGCGAGAGTACTGCATGACAAAGCCCACTTTATGCCGTCTTCAAACCCCGCCTTCCACCCCCCCCCAAAAAAATAAAATAAAAGAAAATTTGTTCTATTCTGCACTACTCAGACTCCACCTCCACTCCCACAAATTGTGAACAGACAACTGAGGACATGTTTTTTTGTTCCGTCTTCAAACAGTTATCGACCAAACAGTTATTCTGCACTACTCAGACTCCACTTTTACATATCTTTCCACATATCGACCAAGCTATCCAGGTGGTGCTTTTTCATGTATAAGCATTTCCAAAAAAATATGTCCTCCGTTGTCTGTTCGCAATTTGGCATGCATCGAGGACCTTCATTCTGTAGGATTGAAAGATGACTTGTTGGTTTTATCAACTGTTAAATCCGACAAGTCATCTGTCAAGTAGGATTGAAAGATAAAACCAACAAGTCCGCTTTGACTTGTTGACTTGTTGGTTTTATCAACTGTGAAATCCGACAAGTCATCTGTCAAGTAGGATTGAAAGATAAAACCAACAAGTCCGCTTGCAATCCTAGAGAATCAAGTTGGTATGATGAGGAGTGGTGTCTCACATTGCAAAAGAAGGAAACGAAAGATGGCTGTAAGTTGGACGTCCTTGCAGTTGCTGATTACGCTGCCAAAATGTCGGGAAAACAAAGGAAAAGGAAGATGGATGTAAGTTGGATGTCCTTGCAGTGGCTGATTACGTTGCGGAAATGGCCGGAAAAGTTTAGAAATGTCGATTGATAAGGAGATCACTGTGCATGAATGTATGTGACGGTGTTTGGCAGGCGGATATTACTCGGCACAATGTGGCCAACAAGCTATGGGAGGTGTACCGGTTCGTACTGACGGACCTGAAAGGAAATCCTGTGGCTGGTGCCAGCGGTGAAATGGTAAAGGAGCGAGTGAAACATGTTTTGATGGGATGAAGAAGGTCTTGGCATTGACACACTGTCAGCACTTCGCTTTGGGTGGACTTGTCGTCATTTATTGTACTCGTTAGTTCGTGTGCCATTCTTGGCCTCCCCTTCATCCTGCTTCCTCGTTATTTTGCTTTCTTCCTTGCGTTCCTCTGCTGGGGCATAGTTCAGTCGGATGTTTTGTGTGCAGTACAGTTCGGTTTGGGTGGTTCATCTCTCTCTCTCTCTCTCTCTCTCTCTCTCTCTCTCTCTCTCTCTCTCTCTCTCTCTCTCTCTCTCTCTCTCTCTCTCTCCCCACATGTGGGAGAGAGAGCCGCATGCATATTGTATGTGGGAGGCTGATGTCTTGTCCAATCTCTGTAGGATGCTGAAATTGTCCGGTTGGGATCGTGGGTGTTGTGATGAGCAAAGGTCACGGGCGTGAAGGGCTGGATATTAGGAGGTGCTGCGGTGTTGAGGCCCAGAACTGTTGGCTCAGAGATCGAACAAGTGTGTTGTATATGTCACATGAAATAAGGCTGTAGTATAAGTTGTAGTTCGGCTGACCTCCATGCCAGAAAGCTACCCCCAGGTCTCGGCATTCGATATGGAGGCAGGTGGCATCCACAAGACCCACCATGGTTATTCTCTCTCTCTCTCTCTCTCTCTCTCTCTCTCTCTCTCTCTCTCTCTCTCTCTCTCTCTCTCTCTCTCT